TTTTCTCCCCAACTTGAAACTTACTTTCATCAGCAAAGGGAAATTAAACAACTTTCTTAGATTTTTCAAAGACTTTTAACTTGCAGAGAAATAAAGTCCACCAAAATTAGAGCAAGGGGAATTACTGATAGAAATGTAAGATAAAGTAGGAGATAATATCTCTCGGCCTTTTTATGCTCATTACCTAAAGTGAAGCTAATAAAATACACCCTCACAGGAGCTTGGCAAGAAGGGGTGGTCAGAAATTTTCTATAGAATGGTTTCTCTTAATAAGCTCCATGGGAAAATTAATAGGCTCTGCATATCCCCATCTGTGGAGAAGCATATACTCATCAGGAACTGAAAGTAGAGTTGCCATGAGACTCTACAGCATCATTTCACTAAAAAAGAGTTGGCTTTTTAATAAGAAATACAATGTTGTATTGGTAAGAGCTGCCATATATAATGATCACTGGTAATTAAGAGGCTAAACTGGAAAGAAGATGGACCCCTTACTCATCCCATAAAATCCTTTTTTTCTATGAACACTAGTTTTTAAACCACAAGTTTCATATTCTGTTCAGAATAAAGTAGCCATATGTAAGTGTTTCTATGTAAGCTGGATGTCTATACTTCCCATGTAGTCAATGAAGATCTAGGGTAAGATACAGCTGAGCCTTTTTAGAAGCTATCAGGTATTCCGTCAGTCCACTGCTGCTTTAAAAGGGTGCTGTTCTCCTATAAACCCTCTGCATTATTACCTGTTCACCTGACATAGATACCTCTTTACCACAGAGCATCTCAAATATCACCCAACTCACATTTTTATTCAGCTTGACGGAGTTCTCAGTGTAGCCAGAAGGATGGTGCAGCTCATCCTGAAGGAGGCACATCCACTTAACGTGCTAAATCATTCTCCAGATTTCTCTGGCTGTACTGAATGAAGTCCCAGGGCTCAGTTCAGTTGCATAAACAATGTGAGACGCACAGGGGTGACCTCCCGGTGTCAAAACACCTAAAAGCAAGGTGGATTTCAGTCCTATATCCTATTTAGCAAATCTGTGCAGATGTTCCAGATGTCATGGAACATCTCAAATCACTGTAGATTCTTATAGATAAGAAACTACCTTAAATCCCCTTTGCTGGTAATGGGAGTTTAGGCACCATTGATGTAAATACCTACAAGTTGGTACCTACACTTACATACCTTAAATTTTTGTCCTATTCTGGTATTTTCCACAGTCTTGTTCAACATTTCAGAACATTAAAGTTTGTTCTGACTGCTACAGATCATTTCTGAAGCAATCTCTGTAAGTTTTCAAGGTAGTATTCCCATTTTACTCTGCAGGGTGCATTGAGCTATCAAATAAACACAGTATTATTACTTTTGTTCACAAATTGAAAGAATTAATGATGGAAGACCAGAAAGTTTCTTTTCAATTTAATCCTTTGATAAACTTACTATTTACTTTACCTTGTTGAACTCTACATCTCCCTGAAAGGAGGTTGTAGCCAGGTAGGGGTTAGTCTTTTCTCCCAGCTAACAAGGGATAAGAGGAAACGACCTCAAGTGGTGCCAGGAGAGGTGTAGATTGGATATTTGGAAAAATTTCTTCACTGAAAGGGTGATCAGTCATTGGAAAAGGCTGCCCAGGGAAGTGGTAAAATCACCATCCCTCAAAGTGTTCAAAAATATGTAGATATGTTGCTGAGAGACGTGGTTTAGTGGTGGCTTGGCACTTGGTGATTTAGTGCTGGGTTCATGGTTGGAATTGATGGCCTTAGAGGTCTTTTCCAACCTAAAGGATTCTGTGATTATATGATTTGTATCTACTGGAAACAAATTATTTCAGATACTACCTACTTCTAAAATAAATAAACTAATTTCTTTTGCGTGTAAGATTATAAATATTTTTTTATATGTCTCGGTGTAGTCAGTTCCCCAAGTCAAGACCCAGAAGATCACACAAGCAGTGTAAAAATCTTGTGAGCTCCATCACGTTTCCATTTCTCTAGATTTAGGAAGATTAGAAAAGATGATAAAATGCAACACAAAATCTTGAAATCAGCTGACTCTTAAAGTGACTTGAAAGCTCTTAAAATACTCTTATTTGTATTTTACTTCTAGTCTAGTTTTTACTGCTATCAAAAGCATGACTTACAATGGTGATGATGATTTTGATTTTTCTGGTGTGCCAGGCAGTTCTAAAAAGAAAATAAAATTAAACTGAGGTATGTTTACCTCTTTTTTATGCTAAATTATAAAGATCCAGATATTGCTACAAGTCCAGGCTTCAAGTCCAAACTTCATTTGGTATTATTAATTGATGTCTGCAAAATACTCCTTGTAAATATTTAATCATCATTTTCCTCTTGTTAATAACTGGAGATAAACATAAATTCCTGCTTTGAAAAGTGCCTGGAGACTGATGGATAAATATTCTAAATGCAAGTTATTTGTTAATGGCCTTTTAGAGACCTTTTATAAATGCAAGTTATTTGTTAATAGCCTTTTAGAGACCTTTTATAAAAGGCTGTGCCTCTCCCAATCTGAAATGGGGAGATATTTCCAAACTGAGCTCTCATTTTGGTTAGGATTCACATATCTTTGGTGTCTTCCCCAGGATACCAGCTTTCCTAGCAAACAGGTTTCCCATGTCTAGCAGACAGATCACCCTAAAATACTTCCAGCATTCTGGCAGTTGTCCATGTCCTGTAAAACCTCTTTCCCCTTGGTCCTCACTTTTGCACTTTTTTCTAAAAGTGCTGGAAAGATTGAAAATCCAAAGAGCAGAGGAGACAGGTTGTCACTGAAGTGAAATGTTCCTATTTCTGGCCCACACATGAATTAAATTAAATTAAACCCTACATTAAATCGGGGTTTGCTGGTGTGGTGCCTGAGACACCCAGAGAGACTATAAGGAAAAGTCTTAATTAGCATGGGATAGGAAATAGTTGGGTTTTTTTCTAAGAATCACTATGATTTGGATTTTTTTTTTTCCTCTCACACAAACCAATATAAAGTATTGATTTCTCAAAACTGTCCACAAACTCAAAAATCAGCTTCTGTTCCTTTCGCTTTCTTTCTTCCCTGAGCAGAATTAGAATAACTGAAATCACTTCAATGGCATTTCTAATTTTGAAATAATTTTACATTTATGTTTCTAAATTAAAACTAAAAATCTGGAGGATTTGGATAGGGGTTTTATTTTTTTTCACTTACCACTTGTCAAAATGAGGCATTATAACAATGGGAATAACTTGGTTGCCCATAGTAAGACGTGCAATAAAACTTGAGTTTCTGTGGCCCTTACTGTACACATAATATTTAGGCAAATGGGATTGAATTCAGTTGCCTAAAAAATGGTCTCTAGTGCAATTTCTGATATCCTGAGGTAGGTGAGACATCCTGCAGTGCTGCATCCAGCTCTGGGGTCCCCAACACACGAAAGACATCGCCCTGTTGGAGCAAGTTCAGAGGAGTCCACAAAGATGATTAGAGGGATGGAGCAGCTTTGCTGTGAGGAAAGGCTGAGAGAGCTGGGTTATTCAGAAGAGAAGAGAAGGCTCCAAGGAGACCCTAGATCCCCTTCCAGTACTTAAAAGGGCTCCATGAGGGCTGGAGAGGGACTTTGGACAAGGACCTGGAGTGACAGTACAAGGGGGAATGTCTTCCCACTGCCAGAGTGCAGGGTTAGATGGGATATTGGGAAGAAATTCTTCCCTATGAGGGTGGTGAGACCCTGGTACAGGTTTCCCAGAGAAGCTGCAGCTGCCCCATCCCTGGAAGTGTTCAAGGCCAGGTTGGACAGGGCTTGGAGCAACCTGGGCTAGTGGAAGGTGTCCCTGCCCATGTCAGGGGGTGGAACTGGATGGGTTTAACTGTGATTCTGTGATCCTCACAGAGACAGTATCCAAGAGACAGGATATGTGGGAAACTTGAACACTTCTGGATATGCAGGTGGAAGCCAGTCTGAATGCCCAAAACATCTCAAATCACTGCAGATACACGTGTGTGCACTGAAATCCTTCTCTAAACTGAAATGAGATTAGCCTACAATAGCTCTACCTGGTAACTACATTAACACTTCATTTCAGTAACTGTTAAGTGAAGAACACCAGTGAAATTCAGCTACTTTGCAGTGCAGGAATAACAATGATAAAAACTCAGTGTTATCTTGAAAAAAAACCCCCTTATTTCAATGAAAGGTGCAACAGGATAAATCTATACCACTAAGTTCAACACTACCAGGGCAGCATTGTTGGAACTGGGTTATTTTTGCTATTAGTCGGTTAGGATGGTCCATAAATTCAGCCTGGCTAAACTAACCCTGTGTGACACATTTTCTGGTCATTGCTTGGGTCAGGGTCTACTCCCAAGAGGCAGTTCAGATTTCACTCTGTTGGATACTCCAAGAGCTTAACAGCATGGGTATGACCAAACCATGCCAGTTGTGCTGAGGGTTGGAGATTGTATCCTTGGCATTGCTGAATTTCCTGGTACAGATTCAGTTCACGTATGGTCAGGTCATGTTCAAGAGCTATAGAATCATAAAAATTGGAAAACACCTCCAAGATCATCAAGTCAACAAAGTTTGATCTAGAACTGTAAATTAATCACACAGAAATCCTTTTATTTATGTGAGAAAGGGGGAGCCAGACTTTCTGGGACTGGAAAATTATCAGTATTGAAGAGCCAAGGGTACGGATCCTCTCTTGGCTCCTCTGAAGTCAACAACCCAGTGTCAGTCTGCAGCAGCCGAGGGTCTGTCCCACGGTGTTTCAGAACTGAGGCTCCTTCCAAAACCCACCTTTGAAGCTGTATGCAGTCTGCTGTTTGGCTCTACTCCTTTCTTTTCAGTTTTTCCCACAGGTAATAAATAGTTTAGGGAGCAAATCTTGAATTTCACTGTAGCAAAATGAGTGTACTGTAAACTCCTCGATGAGCGCATTGATATTTATGTGCGTGTGTGTATTTCTTTTTCTTTTTTTTGTTTCCTCTGTCTCCTTCCCATTTGCAGTTTGATCACTCATGGTTTTGGAACTCCTGCAATATGTGCTGCCCTAAGCACTTTCCAAACTGTTCTCAGTGAAATGCTGAACTACTTGGAAAAGCACACATCGCACAAAAACGGAGGAGCGGCGGAATCCGGCCAAGGACACGCCAACTCGGAGAAAGCCCCCCTGCGGAAAACTTCAGAGGCTGCTGTGAAAGAGGGCAAAACAGAAAAGACAGACTAGCTACATCAAACAGAATCTATTTCGAGAGAGTCTTGCTGCTGATATTTTTTTTAAATATATATATCATTGAGGGCAATTTATCTCCAGTGGACCAAATCCCAAAAAAGAAAAAAAAAAAAAAAAAAGGGGGGGGGGGAAAAAAAAAGGAAAAAATCAAAAAAAGAAAATAAAAAAAAGAGAAAGATTAAAACAGAGAGAAAGAGAGCGTGAGAGAGGAAAGTATTCAACCCTAAGAACAGCAGTGTACAGTAATTGTGTGATGAAATTGTCACTTTTTTAAAGTTTATGTTGCTCTAAACTGCTTTTTTGTGCACGTAGTATTTGATTGTTCTGAATGATACACTAACACTGTTTTTTATAAGCACTTCTGGACTTGGCTGAGGTGGCACATGAAATTTGAAGCACTTTCTTCTCCGGCTGCAGAGTTAGGGTCAGTGCATCAGTGGTGGGACACGCAGTTCCAGCATCCTGACTTTGCTTGCAGGCTGGACAGATTGGAAGAAGGGCTTCCTCTGATCCATCGGAAATGCCTGATCTGCTCACCATTGGGAAAACAATATGGAAACCTGGCAAAAAAAGGAATTCTTGGGTCATGGGACAAATGAACTGTTCTGTGTTGGGGGCTGCTCATCCCCACATGGGAATGTACAACAAAGCTGCGCTGGAATGAGGCCAGAACCTGTTGGGGATCTGTCCTGGCCATTCAAGCAGCAGCTGAGGCATCTCTTGTGAAAAGAGCATGGCAGACTAAAACAAAACCAAACCTTGGTAGTTTCAGTGAGAGCCTCAATCCCTCTGTGAACTTCACTTTAAATGACAGCACGGGCTTCTGTCCCCTATTCTCAACCCCTGATCCCACAGCACTCTGCCACACCCGGGTCTCTGTTCAACACGATCAGTGCAGGCAATTGGAGTCACCTTTTGTGTTGCCTTGATTTTATAATGCTTTCTTTTCCTCAACAGCTTGTTTCTGTAGCTTTATTGTCTTAATAAATCTAGCTGAGGTGCAGAGGTCTAACAGAATCTAGTCACTGAAAATAAAATAAAACCAGAATGATTAATAAGACAGATTGGCTTAGTCCACAGCAGCTTAGTGGCAATAACCTTGCTAATGTGCTTTTAAAATATTCCTTTACCACCTACCACTCATCCTCACACAGAAAATATGGGACTCATAGTTTAAGCTCAAAACTCTTTGAGTCAAGGGACTTTTTCTAGAAGTCACATTCTAACTCCTTCTTCAACAAGACCTTTATTCCATTCCTTTTCTTGTTTCTCTGACACTGCTTTATTGAGAAAAATAGGAAGGAATGGCATTACAGGGAGAGCTTAATGTTTTCCATCTATACGCTATTTAAGACCAGCAGAACCAGACCTTTTCTTCCAAGGGACAATTCAAGTCTTTCTTGGTAGGAATGGTAGGAAATAATATAGTTGTCCACATGCAAAAGTTTAGAGCCATTTGTGATGTTTTAGGCATTTAAGACAGCCAGAGTTTTGTCAGATATGACGTGAAATCTATAGGAGAACTGGACTCACCTGGAGGAGGAGCCGGAGGATCCCAGAGGCAGCACTAGATGACTACAGGTTTCCACTTGACTTGCATGCCAAGATAGAAGGGATCATCTGGAAGTGCCTGTCATTCTCCACAGATAACAGTTGGAATGTAACAGTGGCATTTTGCCTTGTACCTCACTACAAATGGTCTAATCATCCTCCTCTCCCTAAAATCAGTGGAGAGAGAAAGGCACTTATAATACCCAGAGTATCTCACCTCATGGTGATGAGGAATGCCCTGAAAGGGTGTACTTTCCTCAGGTAGGTGTATATATATAAAGGAAGCCAGTAAAGGACAAAAGCTCTCTACATTTTAGCTTTCTAGAACTTAGCACAAGTTACACCTTGGAGCATCAGCTTTAGACTAAACCTGGGGACTGTAACAAATATCCAAGGGTGTTTACAGCCATGATGTGAGGAGTCAAGCTCAATTAACCAGGTCATTCTCACCTTCCAAATGCATAGAAGGAAATATATAGTGCTTATGGTATGATGCTGTTCCTCTGGAGGTCAATAAGGACATTACCATCACTGTGGGGAAACGCCATAGAAAATAAGGAGTCTCTGTTTGCTTACACAAGGAAATCTGGGGGGAAAATCCTATGTTTTTGCCCAAATTTGTCCTTGCTCATGGTAGGTAGGCTTAGATACCTACTCTAGTGCTATCCAGGCACCATCCATGCATTAAAGATATATCTCCATTAAGGCTTATCTCCATTAAAGGTGTATCTCCACGGGACTCCATCTCCTTAACACACTAAGATCAGATAAGTGCCTCAAAAAACTTAAACTTTAGTGAATGAATTTTTCAGTCCAGTGCTTCTGGAGAAATGCTTAAATCAAATGAATGATCCTCAGTGGTGTCTTCAGCAGAAACATTGTAGAGCTGTCCTAGAACATGAAATACTTGCATGCCAAAGTAGGTAACCATGATTAAAAGTGAAAAGGAAACTCATTCTGCTTTTTCTATTGCCCAAACTGAGGGATTTAAAAGGGGAAAATCAAAATTTGACTATGTCAGATATGCAGATTTGCCACATGAAAATTTGCTGTAAAACAATTTAATTGTGAACCTCTACTTCTAGATGTGGATAAATTTAAATTAGATTTTGATGGAGGGAAAGAAATATAAGAAAAAAGTTTTTAACATCCTTTTCAGTTTTCTCCACCAAAAATATCAACCTTCTGGAGACAAAGGAAAGACTGATTGAACAGATTAATCTGTGAAACTGTTGGGAAAGAAGCATTTTATTACCATCAAATTAAAATTTCTAATACTAGAAATAATATGCATACAGCATTATTTGAAATATTTGCCTCTTCAGGACATGGTCCAAAGACCCAACAATAATTTATTTCAAGACTTACGTCTTTTGCTGTTACAGAATCACTATGAGCCTCTGCTCTGCAGGCAACAAATTATTTTTGACCTGGATTACCCTTTGATCTATTAATATTAATATTAAATCCGAGCATTCTTCAAGCCCCAGAACTTCTACTCTGTGACTTAATGACCCCTATATATTTTTGGTAAGGTTCAATATAAATCTGATTCAACCTGATTGAACTGCTATGTATTCTTACCATTAAGAAGCTACCTGTACTTACATTCCAAACTTTCTGGTTTTTCCCATAGCACATTTTAAAAGCAAAATTCTTTTAAAATGTAGCTCCAAGTCTGATGACATTCACGGGCTCTCTGTTTTTTATTTTTAATCGCACTCAACAATTTTATTAAGAGAAAAATTATTATTACTGCCTTTTCTGTTGAACTATCGGAAAAGTTTGGTGTCAAAATGCCTTTAGTTTTTGAAATTGGGACTTTCAGTGTGGTTTTAAGCAATGAGTTCACTGATTTTCCTGTTAAAATCTCAGCCTAGATTCTCATCCAGTTATATTCCCATGTTGTCCACATGCCCAAGTTCCCATGTTATGGTTTTGGGGTTTTTTTTATTATTTTCTTAGTCCTTGTCTCTGTGGAAGTCTTTCCATCTCAAAATGCATTCATGAATTAGATTAGCCTGCAGGAAGGGCACGATTTGAAGTTAGTGGGTGCTCACTGGTGGCAAATTCAACTGTATTTGTACCATTTTGACTTAGAAATTTTCTGACCCGAAAAACAAAAAAAAAGTCTTCCTTTAAGAGATCATGGAAGTGTTTATTCAATGTCAAAACCACCAAAGGAGTACAGAAAAGTATCCGAAGTTCTGTGGCCAGGACAATGAATCATTATGATTTTTGAACTCCAAAAATTGATTCAAATCCCAAGTTCTGTCTGAGTTGGATCCTGTCGTACTTCCGCCCATTGCTCAGCTCTGTATGAGTTACACCCTTCTCACCACCAATCTAAAAACCTTTTAAGTAGTTCCCTGAATTTACTCCTTATCCTAATCCCTGACACATTGGCTCAAAAAGTCCGGATCCTGATACTTGGATTTATTAGCAAATTGCTCATGGAGTAAACAGAGTGATAACCACACACCTATTTTTGTGGAGCAAGGTGTTACTCACTGTGAGTACAAACAGTTCATGTGTTGACTAAGATTAGAACGTAAAAGTCTGGCAGAGCAGGAGGAACATTCCCACCCCCAGCCTCTACCCTAAGATTTGGTTCTCTGTACACACAGTCCTCCTTTAGTATCATTGCATGTCAGATATGTGGAGTAAAGGCAGAGCTTTATCAGATGACGAGAACTGGAACAGAGTTCATGTGGCCTATAAAGGGAAATGACCACAGACATGCAGTGATGACCCTGCCACCCACAACTGAAGACTGTTAAGAGTTTTGTCCTTCATGCTGCCATCTCTAACCCTAACTCCTTCTGGGTGTCATTCTGTTGCCTTGGAGAACTGGCACAAGGGGTGAATTTGGACCTTTCATTTACTTCTTTTTTAAAGATAAGCTCCAACATTCGTTGGGAAAAGACTTCAGCTCTCCAAATCAACATGGAATCTGCTCTTTTTGAAGCTTCTCTGTAACTTTTCCTAAAACCAGAAAAATCTGCTCCAAAGCAGGCACAATGTATAGTCCTTCCAAATCCTGGACCTCTGTGTAAATATTTCCCCAGCTCATCTCTTCCTTTCAACATGACTCAGTGGCACAGGTGCAGCTCACAGTTTTGCAGCCAGGCTCCTGAAGGGCTGTTTATTGTCCCAAGAGCCAATTTCTCTAACTGCTACTTTTTGTTTGTTTGTTTGTTTGTTTCCTAATACCAACAAGCAGTTTTGATCTTAGATATCTTAGGTGTCCAAAAGGGCTTCTAGTGAATTCCAAGGTCATTTGACTTTCGTTTATCCTTTGGAGAAATAGTTCTGCTGCTTTAATTCTTTATTTTAAGGATGAGAAGAAACAGCATTAATAGAAGACAGAAGCCTGCAACACAATGGAGAATCAATAAACATAATTATACGGGAACTGTATTTATAAAAATATCCTTTGCTTCTGTCCTCATTACAGGTTGGACAGGAATTCACATACAGCTGTGTGGGGAATGGGGGAGGAAGATATGGTCATTTTCCTTTGCCAGGTGAAGGTCATTTGGAGAGGTCTGATC